CGCACACACACGCCGAAGTGGACAATGGAAAATGATGAAATATCAAGTTGAAGGCATAAGAAATGCCACGCAAAACGTAATGGGAAATCGATAGGACAGATGGACTTGATTTACGACGAGCGATGGTCAGGGCCCCGCCCCTCTGTCCCAAAAGCAAAGAGCCCCAACGACGGACAGTTGTCGTGGCAGCCGCCAACTAAAAGGTGGAGGCAGCGCCAGGGGGTGACGATGGTCTACAACTAGTGGTGACGTCTATTGACATCGACATCGTCACCGTGGTCAGTAGTCATCATCATACGTATCCATTTCGCCCTCACTGCCCCACTGCGTGCCACTTGTAAGTGACCTACAGCCCACAATGCCACATTCGACAGGGCCTTTGCCACACAGAATGGGTAAGGGAAACCACGTCATGCGATTTGAAAACTGTTAATTGAAAACACGCTAAAAGTACATTTCCTAAAACATCAACAGGCTTTTTGTTTTTAAAATACACAAATAAATATCATCAAAGACACACACACACAGAAACACCAGATACAAAACAGTGGAAACTTTTATCGGAATCGTGATCTTAAAGGTCTCAAAGGCTATTCAACCTTTAACCAGAAAATATCACCAAGCGTTACCTCAAAAAGTAGAGAGATAGTTGTGTTGGGGAAAAATGCATCACGCTTGGGATACCCAAATCGTAATTGAAAGTAAAATATAGAATCTGGATCCAGATACAAATGGAAATTAGAAACTCTAATGCCAACTTGGTGGCATTAACACATCATTGCCACAAATATATAAACACTATACTGCAGTGAATTAAGGATAGTTTTTGATGGATTGATTTTGTCATCTATGTAAGTGTATTCAAAGTCCAAGTGTGGCTTAACATTGAAATTTTGCAAATGCGAAATTGAATTAAACGCCAGCTGCATGACTTCTCAGAAGGGACAGAATCTTGTGTACCCCAGTAATTTCACATTCGTTAGCTTGATATTGATATTGTGCAATTGTGGATTTAATGATAAAATTCATAAACAAACACAGACATGGACTCCCTGAGTGGGGGGCCAGTGGTTTATTTATAAATCTAAATTAAACACGAATTTTTATTGAAATGTCAACAAGGTGCAAGGCTTTCTCGGTATAAAAGAAGAAACGGAATAAGATGGAGGGCTTCTAATTTCCAAGTTACGATTAAATATTTAATTACAGTCTAATACTAAGAACACACGCAATAGCGGAAAATAATTGTAAGGGAACAATTGTAATAAAGTGTGCAATTCAGTTGAGGAATACTCGTGGGGTGGGGGGGGTTTCATATTTCAAAGACTTTGAGAGTGCAAACAAACATTTGTATCAACAGATGTGACTATGAAGAAAAGAACTGTGTACAGATTTTCTGTACATTTATTCCGCTCTCCGTAGCAGCTAAAAACAAATAAAAGATCACCCGATACAGGCGTGATTTTCAAATGATTATATAACTAGATCAGAAACCCATTAGATATATTACGAAACTTTTCCCTTTGGTAATGCCATAGCCATTTCCATAAATCATTAAGGGAGTGCGCTCTCTACCGATTCGATGGACTATTAATAGACTTGCGAAATAACAATGCTAAAAACCTTTTTCCACAAAACGGCGACAACGTGCGCTTGTTAAGTAATATTTTCTATATACCATCATATGTGCTTGTGTCTATGGCTATAACATATGGTGGGGAACGTACACTCAAGTGTCACGTTAATTTCACGCAGTCAGCGGCCAGCCAGCCACCACAGGGCAGCAGCAAACGACAACCACTTGTAAATTAGATTCAAAAATATTGCACGAAAAATGTTTAAAAATAATTTAGCATCTAATTGTGCAAATATCACACAACGTACCTCTAAATAACAATAAATGTATAGGGTATGTGGCATATATATGTATGTACATGTAAATCAATAAGGAGATTTAGAGCACGACAAAAGGTGTTTCCAAAAGCGAGATTTCGGGCTCTTTGGGTGTTTGCCTTTTGCTGTTTTTCGCTAAAAACCCAACAAAAGGCAAGAGAAATAATACAAGTAGATACAATTAACTTTATACTATATATGGGTATATATTCCACGATATATTTATGAATGTGTGGTGGGATGGGATGGGTTGTGTGACTGAAAAGCTAATAAACATTTTTCCAACACACACAAAAAAGGCAATAAGAAACCAAAAATATACACATGCATACATCATATATTTACACATTACAGAAAAGACTGGCGGGCAAATTGCAATTGGAAATGAAAATGAAAATGAAATACATACGTGGGTTTGGTTGGCTTGAGTTAAATGGAAATACAATCTACAGATTGATATTTCCTTTGTTTAAAATAAATTCCTATGCAAAGTGCCCTCAATGGTAGATATTTCACTTGAGATTTTGAAGAGAAAAATATTTCAGAGATTGATGGAATATTAATCCATAAATAAAGATTGATTTGCTTCAAGAGAATGAGCTAAGAGTCTTTAGGGTTTCATTGCTTATTATATGAAAAGTAATAGTACATAAATATTGAAATGGAATTGGAATTAAATGAGATTTATAAACAATAATCCTAAAGATTTTATTTCCCAATAACACTTATCCTCAAAATGTACACAAAACTATGAGCTAAAAGATAAACAGTCTGATATTGAAAATCAAAGTCTAAAGATCCCAAAGCATAAAGATAGCTAAGTGTACGAGGGCTGCTGGGCTACACCCAGGTCACTTCCAGCCCGAATTGGAGCCAATAGCCACGTTTGAATTCGATTAACGATAAAGAAAATTCATCTCAGGAAAGGATGGAAATCTACACATGGATTTTCTACCATATTTGATGTGGAAAATTACAAATACAATCAGAAATATAAGTAAAACTTTCATTGGTGAAGCACCCCCTGCTTGGGTAGCCTTCATTTCATATCTTTTTGGATAGAGACACGAAAGAAAATCAATTCCATGTTTTTAATAACTATCATTTTTTTTTTTTTTTTTTTTTTTTTTTTTTTTTTTTTTTTTTTTTTTTTGTCTGGACGTTGATATGCAATGACTGCACCATCATAATGGCATTTCATTTTCCTGGATAGTATTTTTAATACAAATAAACCCATTTTCAGCCACCAAAGCTAGTTGTTTAATGGCTAGGCCAGGAACTTAAATAGCAGCCTACGTTATTGTGCCACAAAATGTATCCCTTAATATCATGGGTGGGGAAATCAAAAACCAATTTACGATCTCTAAGTCGTAAAAATCATATAGACTCAATCACAAAAAAAAAAAACCTAGATATACACAACACATTGGGGCACACAGAAAGGTATTTGAAGCACTTGTCGAGCGCGTGCTGCTGCTGCTGGGGTGCCAGCCAGTTGTTTTCTGATAACTCAATTATCAAGCAATTACCGAATGAAACGAGAGAGCTCCATATACACACATACATACATACAAATGTACACCCGGGTACACTCTATAAAAAGTAGAGGACTCTCAGAACGAAAAAGCACACAATCAATAGCACAAATTATCGCAAAAGCGAATACAAAACACTCTCAAGAAACCCCCCATCAATCCTAGAGACACAAACAAAAAAAAAAAACATTTTAAAGAGCAACAAATCTATTCAATCGGGCATTTAGTGCCAGCTCTTTGTAGTACAAATGTGGAGGAGTGACCAGTCAACGTATTAAAAATGTAAATTATTGAAGGAAAAGCGGCTCTAGGAAATGAGGGCTCCCCCATTTACTTAGCAGCCAATCATCATTATAATAATTTGAGCTAAAGCGCAATCTTGTGGCGTGCACATGAGGAAAAGGAAATACTTGGGTAGGACAGACAGGGAAAATGTTTCGAAAAATAGGAAGTAAATGGTTTAAAACAATTTAAATAAATATATAATACATCAAAGATTAATTAATTGATTGATTAGTGATTATAGAAATATTTCAACATATGTATGTACTTTTAAAAGTATACTTATGAAGGATAATGTACCCGCGATGTACAATGTTACAAGTCAACAAAAAAACACACACACACAAAAAAGTTAAAGCTATCTGTAATATACTCATGGCAATCCTATTGGCCTAACCATGGAATTCCCTCAAATACACCATTAATCATACGATTATAATCATTAAAATGTACATTTTCTTATCAAAGATAACTCATGGAAATGTAAATAAATTGCAAAGCAAACATTTAAATACATTTTTGTTGAAAAAAGGGAATGGCATACGGCACATCAAGCCAATGAAATATCATAGCATTCCACCATTACCGTTGTATTAAAAATACCAAAAATTTGTTTGGCAACCACAATCGGACATTGATATGATATGGCGACTGTGAACCAGGGAGCTTTCCATCAATCAAGCTGATGGCAGATTGTTGGATCCATCAATGGAGCGTGTGTCCGTCCGTGCCCTGATAATGATTGCCTGCCCTTGCACCATTCAGCTGATGGCCAAATGCCGGATTGCACAATCGATAAGGGTATATAATGGCATGAAGTGCATTCATGATAGGCCACACTTAGGCTCTCATACACTCCTCCCTCCCTCTCTCACTTTCGTACTCACTCACCCGCAGGTCTCACAGATCTCAGCCCTCTTCCTGTCCTCTCAGAGTTCCATTGATAAGGTTTTGCGATTATCCATGCAATGACGTTGAATGTTGGCTGGTTGATTATTCCTCTTGGCTTTCCTCTTCTCTCTCCAAGTATTTTTGGTGTTTGCTGATAATTATTATAGCGTCCTCTCTTTTCTGCCGCTCTCTCCATGGGCTGATAAATCACGCGCTGCTTGCAGATTAGCCGTAAACGACAAATTGGCCTACATAAAAATACAAAAATTCAATTAGTAACAAAGTAGAATTTCTATAATTTATGGTGGAATGATGACGATGCTCTCGCTGCTAAATTAGCAACAATTGCAACCATATAAATGGGATTATGATACAATCATTTCCACTGTTTACTTGCAGCTCGCCACACGCTCCATAGAGCCATCGTTTGGTCTGCTTTTTGGCGACACCCTCAAAGATCTCAATGTGGGCACCACTGGGGCGGCTGTGATTATCAGTGCGCTGGACGTCTGCATGAATTTCTCAGGGCTATTTGTCGGCCCACTGCTAAAGGAGTTCTCCTACAGAAAGGTGGCCATTGCCGGCTCCCTGCTATGCGGCCTCGGTCTGGCCCTCACATCCCCCGCCACGAGCATGGCCCACATTCTGAGCACCTACTCGGTGATTAATGGCATTGGTGTGGGCCTCTCCACATCGGCGGCATTTGTTGCATTGAATCATTACTTCAAGCACAAGCGAGGACAGGCGGTGGGTCTATCGATGGCTGGCACAGCCATTGGCATGTTGATCATGCCGCAGCTGGTGAGGATACTGCTGGAGGCTTATGACTTCCAGGGCGCCGTCCTGCTGCTGGCGGGTGTGGCTCTAAATGCCACTGTCGGTTCGGTGCTGCTGCAGCCGGTGAAGTGGCACATGAAGGAGGAGTTCGATGATGAGGAGCTGATGTGCATATCGGCGTTGCCGACACCCCAGCCCCAACTGACAATTGGGGGCGGTGGTCTGGCTGCGTCGGCGGCCTCCCCGCCCGACTTTAAAGTTATCAAAGAAGATGGGACCGAGGAGGATGCTCTTCCAGAGATGAACACCCTGCTGTTCCACAAGCATCATGCCCACCAGCATTCGATGCGCAAAAACTACTCGGAGATGGCCATGAACACAATGAATGGCTCTCGCCTGGGCATTCCCAAGCGTCCCACCTTTCCGCGGATCATGTCCCTGGCAGGTGTGCAGTCGGCGGCCCATGGGGCCGGTGCCGATGGCGCCTATACCTCGCAGGCGGAGATCAATGCCACGCAGCTGCGCTGTCGCAAGGCCTCGGTTACCTCGAACCTCTCCTACATGGACTTCACCGGCTCCATACTGCAAGTGCACCTCAACACCGGCGACGATGAGTTTGAGCAGAATGATCGCGAGCTGCGACGCGTTGGCACCGCCACCGGCAGCATTGTCCTGGGCGGACATCGCGATAGTTTTATCAAAATGAAGCCCACGGAGCTGGACAAGCAGACGGAGGCCGCTGCCGATGAGGAGGCAAAAAAGAATAAACCCAAAAAGCCTGGCTTCTGGCGCCGGTTTGCCGATCTCCTGGACATTGACATGCTCAAGGACAAGATGTTTCTCAATCTCCTGTTCGGTCTGTCCATCTTCTATGTGGCCGAAATGAACTTCAAGATGGTGACGCCCTTCTTTTTTGCCAATCTGGGCTACCAAAAGACCGATGTGGCTTTCTGCCTGTCAATCACAGCCATCACGGATATTGCTGCACGAATTGTGTTGCCACCGATCTTCGATAGGACCACAATCAGGAAGCGTACCATTTTTCTAGTTTCCATCATATTCGTGGCTCTAACACGTTCAAGTAAGTGAAATCCCAGTGATCCAAAGAGGGTTTTCTTTGGCTTCCTTTAATACTAATATATTCCTCTTTCCCCTGGCATTGCTGTAGTTATGGCAGAGCAAACGGACTGGACCCAGCTCATGATTTGGTTATCGATTTGTGGCTTCTTCCGTGGCTCGGCCTTGAGCAATTTCACGCTCACCGTCTCCGAGTATTGTTCGCTGGAGAAGCTGCCATCGGCCTTTGGCTGGCATTTGGTCGGCAAGGCATTGTTTGTGATATCATTTGGGCCACTGATTGGTAAGTGCTCCGTGCACCGTGCACAGTGCACAGTGCTCCCCAATCCTCTATATAGACTTATTAATCCATCTGAATCGTGTCGGTGGTTTCAGGTCTCATTCGTGATGTGACTGACAGCTATCCCATTTGCATACACACCCAGAGCTTTTGCATTATGCTTTGCGCCTTAGCCTGGGGCATTGAGTATTTGGTGGAGTTCCTTAACGCTCGCCGTCGCACTGCAGATGCCGCACAGGTGCCCACGCAGGAGACAGCCGCAGCAGCGCCCGCGCGAACGACGCATGATGTGAAATTGTAAATCGAAGCTAAGCAAGGAGCCACACCAGGAAGGATTCGATATGAGCAACTATATTTATAAGGAAGACAAGGCTCGCTCGCTTGCTGTAGGGACACCTTACACTTTAGAGAGGGGATTCCGTACCCTGAATAACACCCCCCCCCCCCCCCCCCTGTACCCAAAAATGTATTAAAAACGTAGTTAATTTTTTTTTGTTCTTTTGTTTTCCAAATGATTCAGTGGATGATGATTTGTTTTGAATTTCTGCCCCCCCTAGATTTATTTATAATTTCTTGTCTGCCTTCTGATTTCTGTTCTTTCGTTTTTGTCGTTTATTTAGTGAACTTGTATGTGATAGTTCAAAGATAGATTCTAATTTAGCTGATAAGCAACAAAATTACACCATAAATACACACACACACACACATATATACGAGAGTAGAAAGTATCCTGCAACATCCTACATATATGTATGTACATGGTCCGAAGCAAGGGAAATGAGAATCAAAGTAGACAGAATATTGATGGTTTGAAAATGTACCTTAGGGAATGAAAGTAATTAATTGTGTAGAAGTTGTACGAGAAATTACCCACTTAACACTAATCCAAGGACCAATTGTGAGTGTTTTTCCGCCAATTATATATAAATATATACTATGTAGAGAGAATAAATAATTAAACAGATCAACATCGTTTAAATTCTGTAGCCAATCTAAATGCCAGAGTTTAACCCTTATATCGATAAAAACAAAAACAAAACAAAAACGATGGTTCCTTGTGCTTGTAAGATCAATGAGAAACACACACAAAAAAATTATATTTTGATGCAAGAGCCTTATAAATGTGCCCAAAACATATATTATATAGTGGGTATTTTCATGCCCATTTAGATCTAAGTCAGTTTGTGGGCCAAATGCCAACCTGTTTGATATATTTTTGCGAGTCAATTTCCAACCATTTTGAAATGAAAGTTTGACCGAAAATTAAATCCAACAAATCAAGTAGTTCATTTCCTACAGAGAAAAGATCAGGCAACTCCCACAACACACATATGGTGCAGAAACTAATGTTTAACCAACAAACAATAATAATTTGTTTATCACACAAAACTGGCTTCATCAAACAATTCCTAAAACTACACGACAACACCAATGTGGCGCCACCTAGCGACTACATAGTGAAAAATATAAGATGTAAAATAAGAAAGAAATCTTACCACATGGCGGCTACTACATAGAGGTGACAGTTCTAGTGGTTTCAGTGCACGGTTTAAATCAAACAGTTGAACCGTAATTATTCATTTGCTTTTGTTGCGGAAAAACAAGAACCGAATGTTGGCGTGTGAATTTTCCAAACAATTGAAACACCGAAAATTCAATGGAAATAAATGCCCGCCTAAACTCTACGATATTTGAAATCATCAAAACGATAAGCAATAAAAACAAAGCTACTACAAACAAGAACAACATTCAGATATACTATTTAAGATGAATAGAATTTTAGACATATTTTGTGTACTTAATTTTTTGTTTTTTTTTTTTGGGACGGAGCGAAGAGAGAATCAGAGAGGTTTTGATACGATGAAAACTTTTGCTATTGATATATGGTCCCCAAGACATTGAAAGAAATATATTTACGATAAGTACTATACGATAAATATATGTATATTTAATTGAGAATAAAGTGATGAACAATAGACAAACAAGTGTGGGTCTTCTTTGGGTCGAGTTTTATTAGAAATGTAGAAAGATAATGGAACGATAATGAGGGTATGGATTCTGTGACGGAAGGTAAGCTATACCAAGTTCCTAATCAAAGAATATGCCCATTGCTTACACTACTGTTTTTATGGAGTGTGAAAAGAGTCATTACCTCCTACTCTGAGAGTAGGGGAACGATCACCAACAGCAATGATAATGTTTTATCATCCCAAAGGCAAACAACGTTGGTTGGTTAACGTCTTGGTATAAAAAGAACATTTGTGCGTGTTCTGTAATGCGTGAAAAATAAATTTAAGTTTGTATAAATTATGAATGAGAATTAGTTCTCCGAAGAGGGAAAACTAGAGCCACGAGGACGACACACTATTGTATATCTCTGGGGGCATTAAGATCTGTGCGCTCTCTTATCACCACTAGAGAGGAAGAGAGGCATTTTAATTGTTATTTTAGATATGAAGCGTTGATAGATAAATATCATTTAAAAAATATATGTATATAAATGATTCGCAATTGCAATATAGTATTACAGAAGGTTCCCAGAGGAGAGAGGTGGCCTCTTGGCAAATATAATTTGAAAGTGAATGTTGCATCATTTGGCAGGCAGCTCTTCTAATCTTATCAGGGGGGAAAAGCCAAATTACATTATGAGTGCCGAGATGGGCTAACAAAACTCCCTAAGCTTTGGCCTTAAGGCCATATACCGCGCTCGAGAGGAGATAAGACGGTAGCAGCAATAGCTACTGGAAGTGGAAGCCAGCCCCTGACTAGACTTATATGAGGGATGGAGGAATTGATTTATGTGTAGTACAGAGGCACAGAGCAGACAGAGGCACGGTACCCAAGGTGTCACTCGGAAAGTCGCTTGGAAGATCACTCACCGTTCAGCAGTTTAGGAGCAGCAGTCGCCGGCATCTCATTCATCGATGAAGAAGTCCAAGTCCTACAAACTGGAGGCCCCCGATGGTGGTTGGGGCATCCTCGTGTGCATTGGCATGGCCCTGCCGTTTGTAAGCATCAGAGTTCTCAAAGGATATCCTTCCTGAATTGCTGGTATTTATTTTGCCTTTTCAGACGAGCGCCTTGGCCGCCCTGCCGTCGTTTGGTCTCGTGTTTGGAGACTTTCTGAAGAGCATTGGCGCAGAGACTAGTGCCATGGCCATCATTACCAGTGCCTTCTTCTCGGCCATGAGTTTTGCTGGTTTATTTTCGGGCTCGCTGTTCCAGCGTTTCGGCATGCGAGCGGTGGGCGTCACCGGTGGCATCCTGTATTTTCTGGGCACGGGCATGCAGCTGTTTGCCACCTCAACGATGCACCTAATGCTGGCCTTCAGCTTGGTACAGGGCCTGGCCTTTGGCCTGATGGTGCCCACCTGCTATACAACCTTCAATCATTACTTCGTAAAGAATCGGGTGATGTGGATGAGCTTTGCCCAAACGCTGATCGGCCTGGGATCGATGCTCTATCCGATTGTTATGCAGAAACTAATGCAATGGTATGGCTTTCGTGGATGCCTGCTGGTCCTCACTGGCCTCAATGCCCATGCCGTCCTTGGCATGCTCGTAATGCATCCAGTCGAGTGGCATATGCGTCCTGTGCCCCTCAGCGACGAGGAACTGCAGCTCAAAGAAACCACCACAGTGGTGGTGCGCATCCAGCCAGAGACTCCGCTCAAAATCACCGAGGCGGAGCCCAAGTTTCTGCGGCGCCTCTCGCATGCACCTCCCGATGAGCACCACATGCTGAAGGTCATCTCCAGCCGTGCCTCGAGCATCACCAGCCTAGGCAATTGGTCCGGCCCAGTGGTCGTCAGCGATGCCTCGCCACAAATGCTCCACAGCCTGCAGTCCTCCAGGCGTCCATCGATGGTGGGTGGATCACCGACGACGAATGCCACAGCTCCTGATGTCCCGAAAAAGGGTTGGATCCGCTCTGTTGTGGACTTTCTCGACCTGACGCTTCTGAAGAAGCCCATCTACGTGAACATTGTGCTCGGCATCACCTTTGCCCTCTACTCGGACATCACGTTCTTCACCATGCAGCCAGTCTATCTATTTGAATTGGGATACAGCAGGGTGAGTATTACCATATAAAGTTATTATATATTTATGTATGGATGCATATACATAAGTACCTAAACCGAAGTTCAGAGTTTATTTGATTGGAGTAACAAAAAGGTGACTCGAAATCGAATTACAAATTCGAAAAGCCTTGCAAACCAGGTACCATCAAAAAATCGAGCAAAGAGATATTCTCTTCTTCGTTTTTACACACAATTACAGAAGACTTTGAAAATTGCATTTGAATACCAAATTAAATTAATTAATAAATTCAATAATTCTGCATAAACGCGGCATTTTATTTATTACCTCGTCATTGTTTATGCAGAAATTAAACTCCAGATATCCCAATAAATTATTTTTGGTCTTAAAAGCTTTTACAAAAATGAAAATTCAATTCAAATTCTAATGTTCGAAACAAAATCGCGAGAGAAACCGACGCTAACACCTTTAAGTGTATCAGCTTCACAAGCATATTTACAGACACACACATTTACTTTTCTGTTTGATATTAAGTCGTATGATTTCACCACATAAGCTCACACAAGCTTAAAAGAGAGAGAAAAAGAGACGCCAAGGAAGCAGACGCTATCGCCATTTTGTTTTTCTCCTGCTTCACACACACACAATTTCATTTACAAAACTCGACAAAAAATTTACGAAACATTAAATGTTTCGAATGCTTAACTTTCAAAACGTTTTGTCCAAAGAATAGTTTCACTTACATATTTTATTGAAGTTTTGGCACTTTAATTCGGCTTATTTCACAATTAATCGGACACTTTTAGAGCTCATAGCATTTCGCCTGCTATTTCGATTCTGGCATTGCAGACATAAATGGGCCGCCTTTTATAGATTTGGGACAAGCCTTGCATTGATTTTACGAAAAACTAAGAAAAGCTGTGTGCAGCAAACTGTGAAGATCTTTTTCTCGCTCGCATGCTGCGCTGCAAACATCTCTATCTCGCTCGCACAAGCTCAACGGAAGGAGGAGAGCATAAGGGACATGGTAAAAAAACGTAGAACGCCGTCACCAAATTATCCCAGCCGCACCAACACACACACAAAGAACGCATGAATTTAATATATAATCAAAACCTTTCCGAAATACATATACACATTAAAATTTCGTTGAACCACACTAAACCGTTATGAACCGTTATGCTCATGCTGGAAAACTAATTCTACCACGCAGTCGCCGACGCCCGGCATCTAGGCGCCCAAACACAGCGTACAGAAACCATAAAGCAGTAGACAAAAGCAAGCAAAACGGACCCTGCGCTAACGGCATTTGCACATTGGAATGTCTTTTAGAGATGGGTACATGCATACTTACAGCCACACATATTTACTTTACCTTTTAAACTAAACCAAATGATTTCACCACACACGATGCAATGATTTTTCTCGCTCACCCAAGCTTACAAGAGGGAGAGAAAATATGACGTAAACGAAACCGACGCTGTCGCCATTTTGGTTTTTGTCCAGCTTCACACACACAAATAACAAATTAATTTACAAAACTCGACAACCAATTTTACGAAACATGCGCTGCAAAAGTTAAGCCAAGCGATTAGTATATTTAAACTGTTATTTGCTATAAAACGTCGGTGTTCCCAGCACAAGGTCAAACGGCAGGAGGAGATCATAAGAGACACGGTAAAAAATCTTACATAGCGGCTAAAATCCAGCAAAATCAACGCTGGCGCCAAACTATCCCAGTTGCACCAACACACACACAAAGGACGCATGAATTTAATATTTATTTAAAACGTTTCCAAAATATACACATTAAAATTTTGTTGAACCACACTTAACGTTCTGCTCTTGATGGAAAAATTGTTCTACTACGCAGTCGCCGACGCCCGTCATCAAGTCGAAGAAACACAGCGTTCAGAAAAAACAAAGCAGAGGACAAAAGCAAGCAAAGCGGACCCTGCGCTAACGGTTTTTCTTGTTCCTCTCTATATATAAATGTATGCATATGTATAATTATAAATTATATACACACACACACTCCTAATGCAATGATAGGGCGGGAAAGAGATGCGCACTGGAATGTCTGTTAGGGATGGGTATGGCCAATATTGTACCGTTTACACAAAAGTAAATTCGTATGTAAATTCAATCAAAGTTTGAGTCCCTCTAGCGCTTGCGCATCAGCTTATTAGCCTCCAAGGAAAACAATATAAATATTTTCTCAAACTAGCTTTTAATTGTACCTATGTATGGATGGCATGGACTTGCATAAAAACACATACTTACATATGTACATGGGTACATACAAATATGCATGTACATATATATGGATATGTATATGCATATGTATACATATTTAAGCGCTTTCATTCAAGTAATTAGTTACTTTGCCACTTTAAACCTTCACTTTTTGCTTTAATCCCCTTTCCTATAGCTGGACACTGCTACTATAATTGCTATTGGAGCAGCCGCCGATTTGACTTCGCGAATTTTTCTAGCCGTCACCGCTGTTTGCATACAAGTTCCCTCCCGATATATTTACTTGGCAGGAGCTGTTTTCACAGTCTTTGCCCGATTCGGTAAGTAGCCTCGATTGGAGGCAGAAGCCTAGGATTCTGAAGAGAAACACTCACCTTAAATTTTGTACTCTCCAGTTTTCAATGGCATCACGGAGTTCGTAGGCATGGCCTGCATCACAGCGGTTATTGGATTTTTGCGCACGTGGCTGCATGTGCCGCTGCCTTTGGTTTTTGCCGACTATTTGCCAAAGGAGAGGTTGGTTCTCTATCTACTAAAGTTTAAAATTTGTAATTAAAGTACTGTTCCCAAACAGATTCGCCACCGGGTACGGACTGTTCATGTTTACGCAGGGAAATGCCATGTTTCTCATTGGACCGATCGTTGGCATTATTCGCGACAAGACACGAGATTATCTATTAGTTTTTAATATTCTGAACGGGTTCATGATTCTCTGCGCTGTTCCCTGGGTCATCGAGGTGCTCATAGTTAAGTTTCGGCGACGCAACAAAATCGAACGCAATAATGTCGATCACGAAGATGTGACCGACGCGGGAAGCACTACTGTTGTACATTGAAAACCCTCGGACATTACGGGGCTTCTCAAGCTTCACACATACCCACACACACAACCAAGCATGCAATCACACACAACTCGAACAAAAGTTGTACGAAATATACGCATTACAAATTAAACAAACCTGGTAAAACATTTAAATCTAAAAGAAAACTTCACTAAACTTCGCGAAAAGAAACTTCACTTCTTTACGTGCTGAAAAACTTATTCTACTACGCAGTCGCCGACGCCCGCCATCGAGTCGACTGAATACAGCGTTCAGAAAAAACAAAGCAGAGGACAAAAGCAAGCAAAACGGACACTGCGCTAACGGCTTTTCCTTCTTCCTCTCTGTATATCTGGTCACATAACACACACACACACACACCCACCTATTGCACTGGTAGTGGTAAGAGGTAAGGGATGAGCAATGGAATGTCGGTTAGGGATGGGTACAGCCAATATTGTATCGTTTATACATTCGTATGTACATTCAATAAAAGATTGATTCAAAAGATTGGCTTATTAAATCCAAGAAAGGATGTGCCCGTCCGGGGCAGCACTAGTGCTGTTCATTGAAAAGACCTCTCACATTTTTGTATTTTCTGTTTAAAGAAATAAAAGAATAAACTATTTGAACGTTTAAACTTTTAGCGGGAAACGGAAGTGGCAGTGCTGCAGTTTGATTGCGTGCGAGTATCGATTGTAACGATCTAATCTATATCAATTATAATTATTTGTTTATTTATATACAGGTATCAAACAATAAATCGCATTGCTCTTACATTGAAATACGCACACGAACATTATGAAAATTGAAACTTGTTTTAGAAACATTATTTTATTATTGTCAGCGTTGGTGTTCCACCTGTTTAAATGACTAAGTTCGTTTCTTATTTTCTGTATATTTTTGGTATATTTTTAAAATGAGACGGTATATTTTGCTGATTTTTTTGGGTCATGTGATATATTTTATCGACACATCCGCGGTCACACTGAAGCAAATAGAAATAGCTCTTTTAAGCTATTATTTATTTATTATGTTGCAACAAATTAAGATGCTGCTGCTCAGCATCGTTACGCTTTGCCGGCGTGCCTTATGCTGCTTCTCGCGGCGCCGCAAGATGAGCCACAGCGGCGGTGGCATCACATCCAACGGGGACCAGCTAATGGCCGTCAATGTGATTGTGGAGCGGGGGGATTTTGCTACGTCTGCGGGATCAGCAGGTGGTGCTGGCAATCGGTCCGTAGGAAGGGAACGGGACTGGAACTCGTGGGATGACAGTCCCAGAACCGTGGAGGAGCACATAGAGCAATATCGTCAGCGCATGGCGCAGCCTCCAACGCCGCCCAAAGAAGAGCCCGAACCAGATTTCTTTAGTGTGAGTGTTGGTATTTGGCCCACACGGTGATATGTTCTGAATAATCAACTCATAATTGTGCTCTCTTTCCAGGAGCTGACACCCACCATCAAGCCACAAGTGAAATACTTTCTGGACGATCCCACAGCCTCAGCTGCGTCCAGCCAAGCAACTGACTTCTCAAGACTGCAGGCCCAAGATGTGGTACCCATCAGCGACACTGTAAGATCATAGATATCCACTATCCAATTGAGTTTTTTTTCTGAATTTTGCAACGTTTTATTACTCTGCAGGCCGATCTCGAGGACTGGGTGGATGACAATCCTGGCGGCTGGGAGGAGCTGGACACATCCGGGACCAAGCAAATCATACGCGAAAAGCGGCGAGAGGCGCGCCAACAACGTCAACCCTTGACAAGAGCCGTCCAGCCGACCATTGGAGCCCAGCGTCTGAGCGACATTCATCGCGTTGCGTAGCTGTCAGCTGACCTCCCCCGCCACTTCCCTTCATTCATCATTCCATTACCCATTTTTTCCCACTTTGGCAATTTCTTTATTGATTTTCCCCCGGCCGTCGCTAGTGCCAAGCGGGGCTTTGATTTAGTTCATTGGGCACACAAAATAAGTCTTGCCTTTCATTTGCACTTCCCTCTACCGGTCCCAGGCGCAGTCGTTGGGCCACCACTTCCTGATGGCTCTGTGGTCGCTGTGCCAATTGCCGCACACCACGCTTCGTTGGCTAAAACAGCTAGAAGAAGGCCTTAAAAGGGCAGACCATCGCTGAGGCATGATGCTTTCAGTACCATGATGTTGCCGGAGTTGCTGCTGCTGCTTGGCCTGGCCATGTCCATGTCCATGTCGGACGCGTACGATGGCAGTGTCAACTACTGGGAGGCGTTTGCTCCGGGCAAGCTGCTGCAACGTTTGGATGCACTCACACTGACCGATGTGGACCAGAGCAAGTTGGGAAAGCTGCCCGAAATGATTCAAGTGCTGGCAGAAACCCAGGAAAATGCTCAGGCGGAACCCAAGGCGGATGAGGATGCAGATGTGGCGGACGATGAGGTGGACAGCCTGAGTGCCGAGACCAGCCGTGAAGCGCAGCATTCTGGTGAGGACTACGAGCGCAACTACGAACAGTTTGTAAAGGAATACTTTGATCGGGCTGCCTCGGACGATGGGGATGCAGATGCGGATGCGAATGATGGCAGCAGGAGCCTGGAGCAGACCCATGCGGAGGCCAGCAACCACAAGAATCAGCGCTGTCGTCGCGTACGAAAGCAGGGCCAGCTGTGTGAGATTTGCCGAGAGGCCAAAAACAATCAAGTCTCGGAGACCTGCAGCTACTCGAATTCCGATAAGCCGGAGAAGTATGCCTATGACACTGGCAGCCAGTACAAGCGATATCGCGATGATTCCGCCGACAACGACAACGACGACGATGACAGCCAGCAGGAAGCTGTAGCCGGGGAGGACAAAGAGGAATCAGCCGCCGCCAGCAGCCTATGTGTGCGACGACTGCAAGGTAAACGCGTCTGCTATCAGTGCAAGGACAGCAAGGGCCAGCGGCTGCAGCGCTGCTACGACATGCAGGAAAAGCGCAGAATGAACAAGGCCACCTCATCCGCAGCAGCACCAACCACCAAAAGCAAGTCCAAGATATCCTCGAAACGGAAGCCACGTGCCCGACAGTCACAGCAATCGGAGCAGGAGCAACGCATCTACAAACGTACCATCAGCTACAGCTATGCCCAGGGCTCCAGTCCCAATGATGAGGAGGAGCAGCCCCCTCTGGCAGAGCTAACGACTACAGCAGCCACACTGCCAGCTAAACAGCATCGTCGCCGTCGCCTGGTCAAGGTCCTGCGAAGACGAGGCCCTGTTCCGTGATTGCATTTTTCATTCCATTCGCCTTCCCGCTCGCCCGTTCTCCCAGTAGCTAAGATATAATATTAACAATTTTTTTGTTTGCAATAAAAGTTTTCATAAAATAATGTGAAGACTTTTCAGAGAGATTTTTCCGATGTAGCTCCTGATTATCCTCAACCCATGGATAGTGCCTCTCACTGGAACTTTGGCTAGATAAATATCTGTAGATATCCCATTAATTGATGACTAAAACGATGCACCCCTTGATGGAGCTGCGGATTGGATTACCAATACTCATACTCATAATCATGAATCAACAATGAAACGCACAGTTTTAATGTTTTCAATTTGAACAACAATACATTCACAAAAAAGTTCGTTTATTAGGTGTTTCGGGGAATCTGAATCGGAGACTCCAACTCCAATGGTTTTGAAATCTTAGACAAAGAAGCACAGACACAATTTGTTAACGTTATACATTTGGCATAGGTAGAGAGAACATGGAAGCAATTGCGATTTGCAAACAACATTTATCTTAGCTCTAAGTTTAGTAGCTGCCAAAAGAGAAAGATAGAGAGAGAGCTACCATTTTTCCGCATGGGATACCTGGAGGCTGCTGGTTTCTGGTTGCTAGCTGGGGTTAAAGTTAAGGTTTTTGGGTATTATTATAGTGCTAGAGTTGGTTAAGCAGCAAGAAGGGGTTGTGCTCACAAGTCGGTTATTAAATGCATTATATGGAATTGTTAACATTTTGCCATGCCATGTATATGAAACCATAAATAAATACATTATAAACATAGAATTGAATGCATCGAATACAAAGGTACAAAGATACATAAATAGATGGATAGATAGGTGGATAGCTGGAGAGTCTTATCAACTATACGCTGGTTTCTTTGTGTTTATTTATTACTTCTATTGTGTGCTGATTTGTTGTGCCTTTTTTTGAACGATTAAACAACTGTTGCTTGACTTTTTGACAATTATCAGCAAATACATTATATATGCATGTGTATGTGGAGGGTCCTGCGATCCAAAAGACAACACAAATGGTTTTAGTATGTATGTATGTAAAGAGACACCAAGGGTATTCCCTGACTGACGTGTCCTATATATAGCCTAATGTTTCGTTCGTTATAATGCTCACAAAATTTCGTTGAATTCGTTGAGTGGACCGCTTAGCCGTGGCTAATATAAATATGTATAAAGTGTAGTAGGTACATAATGAGTAATATATAATGTATATAAATTGGCTGGCCTAAAACTCTGTGTGTGTGTGTGAGTGCTTGGATCAATCATGATCAGACAAATATATTTGTATGTGACGTATATATTGTTATGGATAAAGCTATTACTTCCATCATCATTCATTCATCATCCTCGTTGTTTTTTGTTGTTTTGGTAGCCCTTGTTGCATACATTTTGTGTGTGTGTGTTTACATTCATTATATATATGCTACATACATACATATACGGTAGGTGTATAATAGATTATGATTTATACGGTAGATGCACTTTTTTGTGTTCCTTTTTTAAAGCTTCTTTTTGTTTTCTTTTTGTGCATTGTGCATAAATTAAAACTTAGGCAATTAATTGGTTTTCTTAAGCTTAAAATATATAAACACATGCATACACACACATATAAGAACATTTTCGTTTAAACTTTTGTGGTTTGTTTTTGTTTTTGTTTCGTTATTTGTTCTGTAGGTTTTGGCACAAATGTTTCGTACACTAAACAGAGAGAAAAACAAACAAACAAAATATAAAATATTACACCTTTAAACATAAACATAAAAACAATTTGTATAATTAAAAAAAATATATATGTATACATATGTATATTTAACTAGGATGCAGGTTTGTGGGGCGGGGTGCGGGAGGGATGTGCTGTCGCTGTGGCTGTGGCTGCCGCATCTATCTGACCCACTGGTTGAGGCTGCTGTTGTTGGTGCTGCCGTTGCTGTTGCTGCTGGTTGTGGTGGCGGTTGCAGCGGTGACAGCAGCAGCAGCAGCGGTGGTGGTCGTGAGGCTGGTTAGGCAGGGTATACCCTCCAGGAGTATGGCTGCTGGCACAACAACAGCTGCTGGTGCTACAATTTCGACTACATTAATGGCTGCCTCTACGGGCGACATGGCCTTGGGTGTACCAAAATAGACAAGCGAATTATAATATCAAAGCTCGTCATTAGGCGAATGCTCCTGCACGTACTCCTTCGGAAAATACCCAACCTGTTGTCACAACAAAAACAAAAAGTATAATTAATATATTCACACAACGATAATCGTAAGGTGGACACGCACTGTATCACCAATCTTGCCACGCCACCAGCCCTTGCTGTCCCCATCCTTGCCTATAACCAATATCTGGCAGTCGGTGCGCAGCTGCAGTTGATTGCTGCCCGGCTTTGGTTCGTAATCGTACAGGGCAGTGGCTATTACCTCACGATATGGCCACTGCAGCAAAGTATTTAATCTGTAATTATAAATAGAATTAGAAAAGCACAAATCTATGTAGATGCTGACAGATTACCCCGCAAAATTCTCGCCTAGATCATTCCTTTCGTAGTAGGAAACCAGCTCAACAATCGTCTTGAAGTGCCGCCGTGCCGACAGGCAATAGAGCATGCCCTCTGTGCCGATTTCCTGATTGATTTTCATATGCTTAATCACATGATCATCGGTTCTTAAGTGGGGATGAATATATTAAATGTACAGGAAGAAATTTGAATTATGACCCATTCTAGACTCACTTTAGGCTCAGGGCATACATCGTTTCATGTGCCGTCGATGGCCCCTGGGGTCGTACGCGCAGCAAATACGTGCCAATGCGTCGATTCTCCAAACGATTGGCCGCGGTCTCGCGATCCATGTTGCCCACAAACCAATTGAATTCGGTTAGCTGTCGATCGCAGACTGGCGGCGGTTGGGTAATGGGGTTCTGCTTGCAGCGACCCGTCGACGAGATGCAGCCCTTGTGTACGGCTATGAGGCACACCTTGCAGCGATAGCCCTGATGGATGCGTCCCTTTAGAAACTTGGAGCAGTGCCGGCATGACGTTGGTGTATCGAATGTAAATATTTCCATTTTGTGATCCGTATTGCGGCAGCCAGGCGGATCCAGGCTCTCCCTAAACGAAATTAGAACAAATAACAATAAATATCAACCGAGTTATGGCTGGAAGGGGACTCCCAATGTTCTCAATATTCTCACTCACATTGCCTCGGTCAGTGCCTTGCGCCACTTGTCCCGCTCATGCTCCGACTTGAGATACAGCGTAAAGGCCGTTTTGCCCGATTTGCGAGCCAACAGTAACTGATACTTGAAGCGCGTATCCCGGCCGAGGGTGCGCCGCGAGTGGCTCTGCTCCACACGATAGTCGGCCAGGTTATGCGAGTCGCGATATGTGTACTGCATGTCACCCGTTTTGATGTGCAGCGACTTCACCATTATGAGTATCTTGTCAAAGACAAACGCATACCGCAGCTTGGTCTTTTGATCCTCGTGCGCCTTGATGTGCAGCTCCCCGTCGAGCAGGAGGCGTCCGTATTGCAGCAGATCGTTGCCATTCTGCAGCAGATGCAGATCGAATATGCTGTCCTTTACCTTCTGTATGATGACCAGATGGTCCGAGTCGCGCTTCACCTCATTGATGTACTGCGACACATCGATCATGGCCTCCTTGGCACGCTCCAGCGAGCGGTAGTCCTCATGCTGCGGTGCCGTCTCCTTCACCAGCTTGTCCAGCAGCAGATGGTACTTGAGGATGCGCTGCATGGGCACCGACAGTATGTCCCGCAACTGCAGCTTGCCCACATTGTATTCCCGCTCGCATTTCTGCACCAGTTGATCAATGATCTGATTCTTCTTGCACACATCCGCCAGATAGTCAATGGCGCCCAGCAGGCAGCTGCAGTACTCGCCATAAATGAGGAAAGGCTCACGGAAATCCATGAATACCTGAGCCATTCTCAGCTTGGTGCTGGGCGAAAGGGCTTCCCGCAGTCGCTCCAGGAATCGTGTGTGTATGTCAGCCAGCTCCTAGAGATCCACCAATGAAAAAGGGGGAAATAAAAGATACATATGTAGAAACAAATCGAACTGAACCCTAGGGATATACTCACCCTAATTCGTGGAAATATAATTCGTAGCTCGTCCTGGTTGAGGTGCCGTTCTAGCGGACCCATAAACTTCAACTTTAGGGCATTGAGAACATCCAAATAGTTGGACTCTGTGTCGATTAGCTCCCGTATCACGTAGTCGCGCTGCTCGAAGCTGGTCGATGATGCTGTCTAAAGGGGCGCACAAAATCAGAGACATTAGTTTTGGCAATCAGCTGAGTGTTTACAGCGGCGTCTCATGCACAATAGAAACATCAGCAGCAGTTTCTACCTGGCTTCTACTCGTCCTGTGCAGGGCGCACAAGTCTTGGTAGACCTCCTCCTCTTTTGTGTTGGTGTGATCGTAACCAGTTCCATTGCATGCAATATTGTCGGTGGTACTAAATGAAAATAAAACAAAAATCAAATAATACCAAATTATAGCACATCAAATTAAACAAAAACATGAACAAAACAAAATCAAATAGTATAATCGAGAATTGAAACGTTTGAGTTCGATCTATTTAGCCCGCGTTTAGAAATCTCATCGATAGCCGTCATCCGATTTGTTACTATCGATTGTTTAATACCCCAACTCGGAGCGAGAGGCCAAAAATATCTGCGAGGGAACATAGGGTACCGAATTAGATACATTCTGATACCTTTGGGTGCTCCCCCTAGATATTATATAATATAATGTAAGCCAAATCACATCGCAATAAAAAAACATGTAAAGAAGTGAATAAAGGAGGTTTTTCACGCTAGCGGTGTAGCCACTAGCGGTCAAAGCCTGTCGACAAAGGTACACATTTCCTCGTCAGATGTCTCTGTTGCTAATTACATAGATATGTAGATAATGTCTAACAAACGTGTAGTTCCCGTGTAGTTTCCATGTAAGAACATATACATTTTTTTCACAATGCAACTCTACTGCAAAGTGCATGACGATGTGCTATTAAAACAGCTGTCACTGTGTGTGTTCGGACTTGGATTTGACGAATAATAATTGCTGATACTGTGCAATAAAAACAAACGAAATGGAGCATCATACATACGCCAAAAGTGGTTTGAAAATATGTAAGTTGCAGGGCAAACACATGTGCTCTTCTCTCATGCCCCCTGCCCTCACGATTCTAACGCAAGTACTTCCTTTGTTTATTCTGTTGTAGGGACCATTGAGCAGAAGCGCAGCCTAGTGAAAAAGCGCATTAATGCTGATTATTTGTTCAATAAACCGTCTCTGAGGGGCGATCGGCCATGGAAGTAAGTGTTTGTGCTTCCCAGGGAGAGGTAGGGTGTACTTTTTACAGTGCACGAAATAAGCATGGAACGAGGTGGCTTGTGCATATGTAACGCCAAATGTATTTATGTAAATTTAACTGACGTTTTGCAGGACTTTTAAGGAAATGGCCCAGATTGGTGACTTTAGCGAGCATGCCCTGCGCCAGCAATGGCAAGCCCTGGTCTATGCCTATCGCACTGAGAAGGAGGGCATCAGTTCGCCCATAAACGATCTGGTGATCAAAGAACTCAACAAGAAGTGGGAGTTCTTTGGAGAAATACACAGATTCATGATCAAGAAGAATGACCATCATTCGTATGCGCAAAAGGAACCGAATGAGCGCCTGGTGGAGCCGATATTGCGTTGCCCTGAATCCACCAAAGTTGTTGCAAAAGCTCAATCAACAGCTGAGAATAATGCTGAAAACTCATCGGACGACGATGGACTGGAGGTAATAACACCTGAACCTTACCCTGCTGCACTGAAAGAGATGTTAGAAGACGATCCATGGCATCCTGTCCCTACTACACTGGAACAGGTGTTGGTTGTCGATCCAAGTGAACCTCACCCAAAGACACCGAAAAAGGTGCACCCAAAGGAACAGAACGACAAGAAGGAGGCTGACGAGATGGAGGAGAATTACCCAGCCCTAAAGAGGATTAAGTCGGAGAGCTATGGGAAAGTAACCACACACGGTCATCCGATTCCTAAATATCGATATGTCTGGGTTCAGTATGGTGGGCCGCTCGAGGACAACCAAACCGAAAATGTCAACAACTCTGCTCAACCCAAAACTCGTAACTTTCGAAAGCGTCGGGCCGGAAAGGTACTTAGCGAGAAGGATAAGTACTACAGGTGAGTAGTTCTCTAGCTGCTCCTCATCCACTTAATTAATTAATAATGATATAATCCCCACCAACAGACATCGTCGTCGCTTCGAGCAACGACTGGAGAAACGCCTGAAAGGTTTTGGCAAGGCTGTGAGTGTCATTTTGAATCACGTGGCCACCAATTTAGGGGCTCAGACCGAGATGCCGGACCTGGGGACGTTATTTGACTCTGATTCGATGCCATCGAGCAGCAGTGACAGCAGCGCTGACGAGGACTCCGAACAGAACTAAACACACAAAAAACAGAAACAGGTTACAGGGCGGGTAATCTTTAAATGAGTAAGAAAGGAGAGGAGTGGAGCCCAAGGCAAAGCCAAAGAAGCTAACACTAAAACATGGTCCACGTTTTTGTTACACCTTTTTCTTTTGTCTGTTTTTTCTGTCTTGGTTCCTAACTGCGTGCAAAACACTTGTAAAAAAATTGAAGGGAAAGACTATGTCTCGTAGCAACTAAAAACGATTTCGAAATTTAAGAGTGTCTAATAGAAAAAGTAAAAATACATTCACTGATTAGGGGCAGGGCCGGGAAAAATTTGTTGCACAAATAACGAAATCAAACTAAAGAATAGACTTAATGTTACAAGAAACGAGAAGGGACGTGTGAGACGCTTCTTACGCGTCGCAACTTTTATACCCGGCACTCAGTACTACATCTGCACCTTAGCGGTTATTTGTCAAAATTTACATTTGAAATTTTACATTATCTTCATCTGTCATCTACCTCTACATCACTTCTCACGCCAACGCGCTATTTGACCTCGTCCCTCTCCCCTAGAGCCACACACTACACGAAGGAGAGTGTGGATGCGAGAATGTGCAAAAAAAAAGCAAAACAAAGCTGCGGGATTAATTTCTTCATTCTGGCTATAATAGTGATCCAATCGGATCCCAATTCGGGCATCTGATAGATATGGTTATTCCCTACAGAAAAGTGGTTTTCTCGAATTTTTAACATTGTGGCTGTGGAAGAATTTCGACCTTTTGCGGGGGCGGGGCTCATTTTTGAAATACACTTGTAACAGTGTGAGCATACATAAGTCTGGATGCAAAGTTTGGTGGCTCTATCTTTTATAGTCTCTGAGATCCAGGCGCTCAACAAGACGGACGGACAGACAGTCATGGCTCATTCGACTCGGCTATTGATGCTTATCAAGAATATATATACTTTATGGGGTCGGAAACGCTTCCTTCTGTGCATTACAAACATTCGTTATTCCCCACAAAAACACTATACCCTATTTACTCTTCGAGTACCGGGTACTCGGGAAACAGAAAAAGCTGCTAAAAAGAATATGGGACTGCTGACTGCATAATAAACAACATCGAACATAAGTAGGAAATATCAACGAATTGTTAAACAAATCAAAAATAAAAGGCTAAAAAAATCTATATACACTGCAGCAAAGAAAACGCGTACGAAATTTTGAATGGCAATGGGCGGAGGGATCAATCTATAACGGCAGGGACAAAAGTCCTCATTGAATGCATGATATGATGCTTGAAAAAAAGAATAACTGAGAGAACTGTTCAGAAAATACTCGAAATACTCGTAAAGACTATATTTAAAATCTATTTTTGAAAAAGAGTAAAAAATTTCCCCGCCCGATAATTGTTTTTGTTTTTTTAAAGGTGGGGTTGAAATATAATGCCAGGAGCGAATCCTACATCCAATGGCAATCAGGCAGATGAAAGATAGTGCGACGGCCTTATCGGCAGAAGAAATAACAGACAGGGACGTCAACCCCCCGACCATAACCCTCTGTATTTCGGATCGATACACAATCCAAAATCCACATTTGAACGATGACTAGGCAACAAAAAATTCAAGCAATATGCTGGATGTTACGCCAAATATTGTCAAATAGATGTTAAATATGGCAATAGATGATAATCTTCAAATATATATAGACACAAAAAAAAACAGAAGCAACAGAAAGGAAATAAAGTGCAAGGGGGGTATAATTGTTGTGGAGTGCATTCGTTGGGGATGATGTGTTTGTGGTAGTTATATTAAGATTAAAAAGATATTTGGAAGATTGAAGTACAGGTAGGAGGAGGTAGAGCAGTTGGCCTGGGGAATGGGTTAAGGACGTGGAATGGCGGATTACAGTGAAAGAGTTAGTAATGGATAGACGGCACACCTCTGGTTTTGGCTTCGTTTGGAAGGTAACATAGCAGAGATCCTCGTAGACCTTCTCATCGTCCTCGCTGTAGATGTACGAGTACTCATGCTCCGAGGAGCTAATCGACGGGCATGACTGATAGTTGTAGACAGCAGCGGCGGCCTTCTGCAGCCACTGGCTCTCGTTGATGAACAGCGACGAGTTGGAGGAATGCAACAGTGACAGTGTCGATGCACAAAACGATGCATTCGATGCGAACGCCTCGGCAGCAGCCTCCGAGGTGCTCGGCTTCGGGGCTTCCCTTAGCAGGGCAGCGGTGGTGCGTGTGGGCGCAAGGGTCTCCGGCGGTGAAGCGACTGTCGCCACAGGCACGCCCTCTAGAGAGGCCGTGTCGTCCAGCGAGAGGTCAAATGAAAGGGTTTTCATGGAACCATTGCCACCGCCATTGCCACTGCCGGAGCCCCCGCTGCCGCCACTGCCCGAGTCATTGTCCATGGTCCCATCGCCGATGTCATCCATGTCATCGATATCGTTGTCCTCGACGCCATTCTCAATGGTTATGTCGCTGTTCTCATCCTCCACCGAAACGGACCCAGAGCCGCTCTTCAAAGTCCGTTCGTAGAATCCTTCCCTGGCGGCGGCGGCGGACGCGGATGCAGGCACAACGGCGGCATCGATGCTGTTGGTTTTTCGCATTTCACTGCCGTCGGTAATGCAGTGCACAATTTTGTTTGTTTGTTTGTTTTTGTTTTTTGTTTTTTTGTAAAAGCAATGCAACTCACAGATGCAAATAAGTTACACACATGCATACAATGATGATTGGGTAGGCAGTGTGTTAGAGGGAGAGAGTAAGAGTTACAGAAATGACAGAGACAGAGTGTGTGTGTGTGAGAAAGAATGCGTGTTAGATAAAAGCAACGGGACAATGGGATTGTTTTGGATTTTATTCAAGTTTTTGCTTTCGTTTTTTGTTTTGTTTTTGATAAGCAACCAGAGACAGACACAAGGGCTTAGGCGTTCTGTACGTGGACTCATAATGGTATAAAAATTGTCTGGGGAAGGGGGAGCGGAAATGCAAAATACATTGCATATCCGCTGCATACATACGTACATACATACATATGCATATGCTGCTCATAGAGCGGGGAGGTGCATACATATTTCATAAAGAGAGCGAGAGATAAAACTTACGTGGAGTGAAGATCCTTGTAGATGGCCTCATCCGAATGGGAGCGTTCGCTGGGCGAGAGCAAAAGGTTGAAGCCGCTGAAAAAGAAGATCCAATCAGCATTTCGAATTGGGTGTCATACAAGCATAGCCAGGGATGGAGACCACTGCTTCCATTAGCATTAGGTCAAGACAAGCAGTTCGATCTCTCATAGCCCATCTCTGGTTCTGCTGGTGGCATTGCTCTCCTCACACACTCACACTAGATCTGGATGGAGCTGTTGCACCTTGCGACACTGCGACAGCTTCGAGAGCGTGATCAGCACCCGATGGAAGTTGGTCAAATCGTAGAGCATGGTGGGCTCAAATAGATCCGCATCGCGTATACCAAAATTATTGTGACAGACATCCAGGAAAAGCTTAATGTTCTTGCTGCACAGAAACTGTAACACAGAAAAGTGGAACACACCACGATGATGATGATGCAGCAGGAGAATCGTAATGGTAGGTGTCCCACCTGCGCCATTTGGGGCTTGCGATTGAATTCGCGCGGATCCATGCTGCTCGGATCCAGATGGATGACCAGATTGCACAAGAGGACGCCATCCCGCAGCGTCATGGCCAGTATCCGGATCTCGGCGTCGGGCAGGGCGGCCTTGTGGTCGGGCGGAATGATTTTACATCGCGTCAGCCAGGCAACGCATTCGCGCCACAGATCTGCATTGACAGCGGCGATGCCGCCGCCAAGGGAGTTGCCAAAGCTGTTGCTGCTATTGTTGTTGTTGTTGTTGGAGGCCATTTGCAATATTGGGGGTGGCCAATTTTGGGGGAGCAGGCAGGCGGAGTTTGGGTGGTAGTTGACCTCGGTCTTGGGCGTGTGTATGTGTGTGTGTGTTGTTGCTGCTGTTGCTGAGGGAGCCTCGATTGCCGGGGCACGATGGCAGGCGCGCGCACAAACTTCGTTGCGTTAATAAAAACAATTGGGCCTCATCCGTATCCGTGGGCCGTGGTTTTCCTGGACAGATTACAGATAACACATTACACAGATGCAGCAGCGCGACGCTGCACACACTACATCAAAATCACAAGACGACGGACAGACAGATAACAACTTCGACAGATATTCTTTCACTGCACTTTTCTGGCTCTGGCGTTAATTTTTTTAATTTTTTTTGTTTTTCTCTTTTGACCAGTGTTACCGCAGGTTTATCGATCAAGTATACCGCATGACCCTCAAAAATATACCAAGAAGGTACCTTCTCGTTTAAAAAATATACCGTAAATATAAAGAATTCCAAATAATTTTAAATTATACTTAATATTACCAGCTAGTGAAGACTCTCTGCACTTAAAATATAATTTATCTGATTGACAAATCCATTCTCCACAAGATTAGCTAAATTTAATATATGGTCAATTGCATGATTCAAAACGCGATTTTATACCGGTCGACTGTACAGTGAACTCAATTTCTTCGTTAAAATATCCCGAAAAATATATAATACACCGAAAATGGTGACCCTGGTTTTGAATGACGATGGGAAAACGACAATTTGTTTGTTTTAGAGCAACATTGGACTGTTAAACGCATTTTGTGGGCTATTGCTATTAACAATTGTATTGTAATTTTCACTTTGTTCGTTTTTTCTTGAAACCCTATTTTGAAATCAATAAAACGTATTTCTTAACACCAGCCAATCTTGTAGAAAACTTATTAATATCTTGTTGTGATCAGCGCCGAGGGTTTCAACGGGCTATTAATATTATATGAAAGTTGAAACTTTAGCGCAGCTTAGGTACACAACAAATATTCCGGTTTTTTGGTTGTAAGTGGAGAGGGATTTATAATTTCCGCAGTTTAACTCAAGATTTTCTTCACCTGTTTAATTTGTATTAAATTTGTATTTTATTGGTTGGTTTAGTGGGTTAAGGTGAACACTACTTGGAGTTCGTTTTGCTTGAACATGGTTTCAATGTGTTATTTCAAGCAACAAATATTAATTTCAAATAAAGGAAGAGTAATCTTTTATAAAAACATCAAATACTATTTTTATATTTTGAAAATTATACTTTTAAGTATCATTTAATATTTTAAATTAATTTCTAATATTTTCTAGTCATTATTAATGTTTGAAAATTAAATTGTTATATTAATTTATGGAAATAGGGTATAAAAATTCCCATACTATACTTTTACCTACCTGTTGACAAGCAACGTATTGTTAAATACTCAAGAACCCATTCCGATTCACGTACCGTTTTATGCTATTTATGTTCGTTGACCTTTTTAGTTTTAAACTTAATTTGGAAAAATTCCAAGAAAAGAAAGTCGTGAAAGCTAGCCACTCTTGTGGAGAATTGATTGATAAATCGGATAAATGTATAGTTTTAGCGCGGAGACTCCTAACTAGCTAGTAATATTAAATAGAACATAAAAAACTCAAGAACGAGGAAAATAATTGAAGATTTACGGTATACTTACAGTATATTTTGAAAATGCAAGGGTATGTTTAGGTATATTTCCGAGGGTCTGTCGGTGTATTTGATCGATAATTCAGCGGTCACACTGGTGCAGAGGCAACAAAAATTAATTTTAATAAATAATTTTAGTTTAAATAATAATAATGGTGAATCGGGTTTGATTCGCGGTGATTCGCCAGATTAACTAGGCTTTTTTTATTTAGTTTAATCATTTGTGTAAAAACAGTTCCGAGTGAATTACGCCCTGAGGTCGCGTGGAACCAGCACCAGAGAAGAGCAAAGCGCTTCGGCTTCCCGCAAATGCGGTGAGCAGCCCAATAAAAAAAATGTAAATTGTGCAGCCAAACAAGCAAGTGAAATTAAAAAAGCAATATAGAAACTAGTGCCTGTTATTATCCCGGCCCTGTGCCATTCAGTGAGCGGGCGAAACCGTCATTGTCGCCCCACCATCCGCTGAGCCCTGCGATGGCCTCCCTACATTCCAGTTGGCGTTTTGGCAAGAGAAGCAAACTACAATTACGCATTAAAGGTAATGTAACAAATGTTAATTTAACATTAAGCATAACCCTAACATAAGCACGACCATTGGACGTAGCATGCCATAACATTTTGATATCAATTGCGATTGCTGCGCGTAAAATCTGAACCAACCAGGCAGGCAGAAGCAGCAGCAGCTGTTGCTATTGTGGTTCCCTTGGTGATTTGTTGTTCGCTTGGTTGTGGCCTAGTGCTTATTCAATAAATGGTGGATGCATTCCGATTGCAGACCGCCACTCTAACATTTGTTTGCATATGTAGATGTTAAGTCAGCAACCTTCTATCCATAACATACAGTGTTCGGTGCACCACATACCAGCCCCCACACAGACCCCTTTGCAACAGTCAATGTTAATGTTAAGTCAATTGCGCATAACGGTTACCATATTTCAACAGAACTGAACAGAACAGCATTCTTATTAGCAGCCACAGCAGCCTCATTCTTGCACATTCTTCCAGAAGTTGTTACCCTTCTGCCTTTTGTGTACGGTGCGGTACGTACTCGCTTGCACATATGTATAGTAGTATATTTATGTATTTTTATTTTGGTTATTGTTAATGTTGTTGTTGCTGCCATTTGACCAAATTCTTTTGCTACATGTTGGCCGTCTATTAATAGAGACGGTCGCCAGCAGCATAGAGAGAGCCATACAAACGATGACGCAGCACTAGCAGCGGTAATAGCAGCAGCAGCGGAACGCATTAAATGCTCGGTTTCTTCCATTCATCAGCACTATATCCCCCCACTCTATTCCCGTGTCTCTCTTTCTCACTATATCCATCATACAAGTACAGTTAGCTGTAACGACAACGAAGGCTAGAGCTTCTGATGTGTCGAAACTTTTGATACCCTGCAAATAGATTAGAGGACCATCTGAGTTATTTGGTTCGACTTTGTTATGATTCTCGACCATTTATGGTATATAAGAGTAATGCTCCCTTTTATAAGATAAATTGATGCCGCAAATTTAATGGAAATGCTGATCGGTAATATAAGTAATATGGTAAATGATTTTCTCCCTGCGTGGCATGAAAAACAATTGACATGAATGCTGTCTGAATGTAGGGTATTAGTAGCAGCACCAGCAGCGTAACTGTGCTATGACGCTGTCTCCGCTGTCATTTCACGTGCACAGAGACGCAGCAGCCAGCGCCAGCGGTGACGCCAAAGCAGAGCTGATTAGTTTCGCTCGTGGATCAATTTCACTCGTCGATCTTCTTCGCTTTCCAATGCATTTCGTGTGTGTGTGTGTGCTCGTTTTACACAGAAACACAGAGAAAAATAGGCGGATATGTGTGTATGCGTATTTATTGTGTGTCTGTATGACGAGAGAGAGAGAGATAGAAACTGAAATTAAACTTAAAACTAATTTAAAAAAAAACAAAAATATGCAGCCAACACATTTTATGGTTTACATTCTGACCAATTATTTTATTTTGCAGTTTCGCAAGATCCAGAGGATTTCTATCGACTGGACCCCACACGATCGGCAGCGGAGAATGCCTTTGACATATATTCGATGCTCTGCCGGGAGGAGACCCGTGACACTAAGCGCCTGTTCCTGCTCAATGCTCTGGCCTCGCTCTGCCTGGCCGCCCGCAAGGGATCGCATCACAGCAATCTGCGCTTTAGCACAGAGGAGCTACTCTACTGGTACTATTGTCAATCCTTCCCCCTCACTAGATTTTAAATATACTCCTGAATCCTGATTTTTGTATCTCCTCTTAGCCTTAGTGCATCGCTGGTGCACACATTCACACAAGTGAGGGCGGCGGCATTGCGCACCATTCGCTATGCTTTGAGCACGCCCAAGGATATTAAGGCCTTCAACTCCCTCCAGCTGCAGCATTTGTTGTGTCGCTCCATTGACCTGATGCTGAAGAACGACGATGAGCGAGTGCAAGCCCTCAAGCTAGTGCGCAAGATGCTGGCCATTGCCCCCGAGGACATCAGTCCGGTGGTAGTCCGATGCCTCGTCTCGTTGGCGGACAGTGGTATCGAGGAGAACGACAATCTGCTGCGTGCCTGTCTGGCGACCCTGGCCGAAATTGCTGTCCTCAATCCCGCCCTGCTCATAGTCTGCGGTGGCGTCACCTCCATTACCCGCAATGTACTCGAGTGCCACAATCCCCGTATCGCAGAGAGCCTATGTGGCGTTCTGCTCTACCTACTCGAGTGGCCGCAAACGCGGAACATGTGCGGAGTGCGCCTCGATTGTCTAGCAGCGCCATACTGTGACTTCACCTACAGACTGGGTATCATGGACAAGAACAAGTGAGAGCGAGAACTGCAGAAAGAATCTCTCCAAAACTTAAATTCTCTGTTCTCCTTTCCAGAGATGCACGCGAGCTTCGTTACACCAGCTGCCGGCTGGCATTGCTCTCCGTGCTGCGCAGCTGGACGGGCACCCTCGAATTCTGTGATCCAAGCAAACCCTCAGGCCTAAAAGCAATAGTCGACGCTTTATATTTAAATCAGATTGAAGTCAGAGTGAGTGCCACCTCCTCCTCATGTTTGTTGGTTCCTCCCTCTTATATTGAAATCTTCCTGCCATGCATATAGAAAGCAATATTGGATTTGCTGTACGAGCTATTGTCGCTGCCGCAACCCGCCTGGACGGATGACTATGCGGTGGCACTGCAGGCAGTGGATCCCTCGGACTTTCAGGACTCGTGGCTGCTCAGCAACGGCTTCGTTTCCGCTGAGGGACGTTCGATACTGCCAAGCCTGGCTGCCCGAGCACCAAATGTAGTTGAACAGCATTTGGCCCTGCTTCTGTACTGCTTCCTGGAGACGGGCCTCCTGAATGCGCTCGTTGAGGTGGCCGTTGCCAGCGATCAGTTCGTTTCGGTGCGGGCCACCGTCCTCATTGGCAAGATACTTCAGCTGATGCACACACACCTGCCGCCGGACATTTGCTGCACCAGTCCGGCCCTGCCCACGCTCATTGGCCATGCTACGCAGGGGAATCAACAGGCCAATGCAGCTGTGGCGGCGCTGCAGAACTACCAGAAGATGCTGCGCCAGAGGCCGGCATCTTGCAGTCTATTTCTGGACAGTATTATTCAAGGAGGAGCCCTCATTCAGACGCGACTCTTTCGGCGCCACCTCAACGTGCAGGAGCAGCATGGCCCCGCCCTACAGCTACAGGATACGGCTGCGGCGGCGGGCTCCTCAGTGCCGCTATCG